TTTGAGCTTCATATTCTGTTATGGATTTCGGAGAGTGCCGTGATTTTGAAGAGCTGCGGATGTCGTTTTCTGCCTCGATGTCTTTCATAATTCTCGACTAGAGACCTTTTCTTTGAGCAAAAAATTTCATTGGGTTAGGCGCAAACACAGTGCTTGAGGCTTCGCCTGATGAATTCACCAAAGTGTAGTTGACTTGGCCTGAGGATGTGCGTGAATAATCGAGGCCCTTGGCTCATAAAAGCGAAGAAAATGTTCAGCAACTTGCAGGAAACATTGGCAATTCATATAGCGCAGAAATATAGCAAAAATAGACAAGATTCTACAGGAAGATCACAAAACAATTGGGACATATTCAGTAAAGTGTATCATTTTTCTCCTTGAACGACCTTCAGACCTCGTTCCCAGGTGACAATCGGTGTTCCGGATCACCTTCTCTCAGCTAGAGGGGGGTGAAGAGGTGCTTCTACGCATTCAAAATGCTTGCTTTGTCCTACTAAGGGTGCCACGCGACAATTTCATGATCAACTCTGAAGCACCTTTTAATGATAAATATCAAAACTTTTCCAAACAAACCACTCTAACCACGAAATTGTCGAGCTAAATAAGAAGAAACAGTAGTAGGCGAATCTATCCAAAATAGCTACTGCAGCACTAAGTGATTTCGGGAAGGATCGTTCTGGGCGAGAGTTTCATCAGAAGGACAGCTCACAGAGGTCCCATCGTTACGACGGTGAACAGACCCCTCCTCTGTCCGCTTACATGTATAAGGTATGAGTCCTTTTGTTTGCGGTCGCAATATTCCTCAAAATTCCCTCTATGCTTACAACGTATTTTGGGTGAAAGGAAGCTGAAATCGATTATGTAGCGTTCCATAGTTTCCGAGAAGAATAAACCCTGCCCATGAGTAAGAAACAATTGCATAATAAAAGCGAGCAAAAACTCCGCGATACTGAATGGGTACTATCAATATACAGGGTGGGCAAAAATTACGGTAACAAGAGCGCTAACCAAACATCTCGATTTCCTTCGAACCTAATAAATGCACCTGGTTGAAGAGACCCCGGAGAGAAATCACTAGACACAACAGCAAGGTAGACCGCTTGTGCACAAAGCAAATATTGTGCAACATTGGTTTTGCAGAATTTTCCGAATTCATGCCATTGAACGAGGGGCCACCTTATTTTCCCGTGTTAAAGCAAGTGGGTTATTTTCCGTGGAGTCTACTGAAGACGATGGGCTACTACGAGTATCACTAAAGCATCGACGAATTAAAGAAGATCCTAGTGTAAGCTCGATGTCACCTTCCTACACAACGGCCATATGCGTTCCCGAGATGACTTCACTCAGGTATAAACGCAAACAGCGGCCAGTCCAAGAAGTGATGTTGTATTCTGTCTTGGTGACCTTCCTATGAATACATTGTTGGGGTCCACGTGTGTCTTGCTGGCCGAATTGCTCTTCCATGAACACTTTATCCTGTTACCGTAATTTTTGCCCACCCTGTACAACAGGGCAAATGAGCCAAATAAATGGATCACTCGGGGGACGGCGTTTGTCATCAGAGGCCTGTCCCAAGCGGGTCATCCCAAAGCCCGCACCTCTTTCCCCCCAACAGGGCGCCGCTCCCCGAGGCATCGACACGATGGCGATACAAAAGAACAATTATCGAATACCGTGGATGGTGCGCACGAGTCTAGTCGGTAACACAGCATCAACCAGGAATACTAAGTAGGTAAATTTAATTAGGCTTCTGTCCTGTACATCCTGACGTCCTACTCTTACATCTGCCGGGGTCGGATCTGACCATGTTTCCAGGGTCTCGCAAGTATCCTACTTCGCACACTGCCTCTTTCAGATCTTCTTGAGGGGTTCCAGAAGATTCAATGGTTCGAACAGTGGCATGGAGTTTTCCGATTGTCACAGTGGAAAGATTATGAATCCACGAAGCAGCACTGGGATCAGGACGAGATCTCTTCTCTGTGACACCCCTGGAGCGAGAAGTACCAGGAGTAGGAGGAAGCCCAACAATTTGCTATCTTTCAATATCCATAGTCACACAGAGAACCACTGCAATACTAGGATGTTCGTAACGGCCTGAGCGACACACCGGAAGAAAAAATTCTACAGGCGTGGGTTATAATGCTAATAAGTCAAAACCGGCTCCGAAATTTGACGCGGAGCGAGCCACGCTAGCTACACTCCTTTCGAAACCCTCAGCACTTGCAGAACGAAGCTGCAATTACAGCAAGATTCCGGTCCCGTTACTAGCCGACACAGCACAATTGAGGTCGCTCTTCTACGTAAAAGTAGGCTCGCTTCCCCCCCCCCCTTACCAAAGGTGGCACGCGAAATCGACTTAACAAAAAGAAAACCTCAATTATATAATCCTTAGATATTGTATGCTACTTGAACACAGAAAAGTCTCTGAGGTATATGTTCATCATAACCACCAAGTACAAGGCACTGCACGTCTTCGTGAAGCGAATATGGCGCAATGTGGCTCGGGGGGCCAGTCGCCGCGCGCGGCTCAGTGGTGTAGTGTAACTCGAACATTCCAGCTTCTCACGGAACATTCCAGCTTCTCACGCATGCTAAGTGACTGCCCTCACCCCCACCAGGGTGAATATCGGTCGAGGAAATCCTCGACAGGGGGGTCGTACCTGTCGGGCTGGTCCATGGGGGGTCGTACTCTTGGGGGTCAGTAACAGCAGTGGTATCGTGGTGCAGATAGGTAAGAGGGTATAGCGCAGCAGAAAATGAAAATATCTGAAAAAAAAATATTAAATTTTCTTTGCAGGTTCAGTCGCTCCATTCCTCCACCTTCATGAGAAGGGCGTATTTGAAGGCAGTACAAAGAATGAAAGTGCATCCCCGCAAAGAAGACTGCCACATGTGCGCACGCGCTGCAAAGGCACCTCCTCGCTCGCTCCTTCTCCCTTAATACCTCGCTGAGAATGACACTGTTGTTAGGGACCCTGTCGCAAAAACGACAACCGTGAAGAAAAAGCGCTGGGCAAATGAAGTTGTTTTTTAGGTTACAGGAATAGCACAACACACTATGTCTACTACAATACAGTTTCGTTCGAAGGTCCCCATCATATAACACCTTTCAATCGATTCTGCAACTGTGAGTGGAGGACGGATGCATGGCTTATACCAATACAAATCGGATGATGACGATTGCCCCTATTCTTATTGCTTGCGTTGAAAGATTGTTCTAGACACATTTCGAGCGTTGCCAACGAATTACACTTGCAATGGTGAAGAGGGAGCGGATTTTCAGGTGGCCGGATCCGTCCTCGATACATACTCGACGCAGATATCTTCTCAACTAGGAAATGTAGAAGAAAGCTAAGAAGACCATCAGAAAGCGCAAACCTTCCGCTTTCCAAAACTATCTTCCCTTTTTCAGGATCTTACGAATTAGAGAGATATTGCTCTTGAAGTGGCAAAAACTCGCATGAAAATTTCAGCGTCCTCGACGTTTACTCGACGAAATTTGAGAGACCCTATCTTTCTGCATGGAAGGCTTTCAGAGCAATTTCAATACTTCTTGGAAACGCGAAATCCAGCTCTATCTAACCCTACCTCAAACTGCTTCAAAGGTTATGAAATGGAGGAATGCAACCTTTTCATCGAGGGTGTAGATTTCGACGGTTTTTTTCGGGATTTCAGCAAATCTGACCCAGTGACAATCGCGCCGCAGCTGCCGTTGAATCGGCCTTTGATACACTCGGCTGTTTTGATATACTCAAGCAAGGAATCAAGATTGAATCGCAACCCCGTGCCTTCAGGATTTCTGTGCATTTCTGAACGAACCTGACTTTGAGGTCACACAAAGTTAATGCCTCTTTCCTCGAGTCGATATTTCAGTAAATACACAAAAGTGTGCAGCGATGAAAGACAGTGCATAGATGACAAGATGAGGCGTCCATAACATTATTTTGCAGGATTTTTTTTGATTTGTTTTGCAGGATTTATTTTAATTGAATTAATTTGCTCTGTTAGAGGGGGTCGTGCCAGGATCTCGATTTCGGGGGGGGTCGTACTTCTGCGACCACGTACTCGACACGATTTTCACCCTGCCCCTCCTCACTTAGGCCCTGTTCAGAGATGTCCGCTTGCGCGAAAAAACGCATAGGCGAAACAATGTGAAATATGTATCGACTGAACGAAGACGCACAGGCGAATCGTGAAGTGGGAGGATCGACGAAAATGAGTATCATACGCATCGACTTACGAACGCTTCGCTCACGCGATTTTCCGCCTGTGCGTTTCTCACAGTCGATACATATCAAACTCTTGACTGAAATTCGCCTGCTCCGGACGTTTCGCTTACGCGTTTCACAATTCCTCAGTCGATGCATATCTAAATCTTGGCTTGATAGCTTCTT